TAATCTCACGAATAGAAATGTGTATGTGTTTTTTTAAATTTATAAATTTTTCTAACTTTTTCAGATCTAGAAATCACAATTTCAGAATTGCATTTTAAAGTATTTTTTACTCACAAACAGCAATTTCTCAGCAATTTTTACCCAATAAAATATTTTAGAGCATGACATAACTTCATATTCATTATAAAAATTTCCATGACTCTTTAAGATTGTATTAATTTGCATAACTTTTTTCAGATCTAGAAATCAAAATGTTTTTAATTACATTTTTAAATATTACATTTTTTACTCACAAATAGCAAATTTTTTTTAGCAAATTTTTTTTTTAGCAATTATTAATTTGCATAACTTTTCCAGGTCTAGAGATTAAACTTTTACAATTCCCTCATATGTCCATATTTTCCACGACTGAGAATCCTGATTCATAAATAAAAATCACTGTTAAGTGAAAGCATTAAAATAAGAAATACAAGATTAGTTTACATGTTATTTTAGTTGTTTTTGCTTATTTTAATGCTCGTTTTGTCTTGTTTTCATCATTGAAGGCATCTTGGTTTGGAAGTGTGCTGATGCCCTCTAGTGGGCCCCGGGCCCCTGTACGAGAACCACTGCATGGCTATGTGTCTGAATGTGTGTGTCTGTGAATACTGTAAAGCTCATTCGAATCTGAATCTCATATGAAGCTGTTGAAATATCAGATCCAAAGCATCTTCAGGTTTACACTGCAGACGTATGCAGACAATGACTGCTGATACTGAATTCTGAAACCGTCTCACTCTCTCTCTCTCTCTGTCTGTCTGCAGCGGTTTACCTCTGTAAACGAACCATGCAGAATAAAGCTCGTCTGGAGTTGGCTGATTATGAAGCTGTGAGCGTCTCTCTTTTCTGTTTGATCTGGATTAATGAAGATCTCATTCTCCAGAACATCTCATTCTGTACAGGATTTATCAACTGAAGTGTGTTTGTTGAAGTCAGATGTAAGGATTGTATTTGCTGACTCTGTGTGTGTGTTTTCTACAGGAGAGTTTGGCGAGACTACAGAGAGCTTTTGCACGGAAATGGGAGTTTATATTTATGCAAGCAGAAGCACAAGCGAAGTGAGTGATCAGATCTCAGATCAGACGCTCGAGTCTACATCAG